GGTGGGAGGAGGTTGGGACCCCCCCCCTCACTTGGGGGTGAGTGAGGGATTGGGGACCCCCTTTGGGGGTAATTGGGGCTGGGGGCTGAAGTGGGGGAAGGGAAGTTTGGGACCCTTTTGGGGTTTGGGGGGGCACTTGGGGCACCCTCCGCTGCCTTGGGGGGTAAATGGGGCTGGGGGAGGAAATTCGGGCTCTGGGTAAAACCCTGGGAAGGGTCCGGGGGGGCTTTTTGGGGAGGGGGGTTCCAGACCTTCCCCCTCCCCACTGTGAGGGGACACAGAACCCCCTCCCCCTCCCTTAGGGACCCCCAAATCCGCCCCACATCGGGGGGAGGGGGCAGCGGGGGTCCCCATGCGATTCCCACCCCCCTTCCCAAAATCCGAGGCAGCGAAGCTCCACCGCCCCCTCCCCAAATTCCAACCCCCCTTTGCCCCAGACTCACCAATCCCGCAACCCCAAATCCCCCCGCACCGGGGGGCGGGCCCGGCCCGCTCCTTCCCACCTCCCCCCTCCCCAAATCCCCCCGCACCGGGGGGCGGGCCCGGCCCGCTCCTTCCCACCTCCCCCCTCCCCAAATCCCCCCGCACCGGGGGGCGGGCCCGGCCCGCTCCTTCCCACCTCCCCCCTCCCCAAATCCCCCCGCACCGGGGGGCGGGCCCGGCCCGCTCCTTCCCACCTCCCCCCTCCCCAAATCCCCCCGCACCGGGGGGCGGGCCCGGCCCGCTCCTTCCCACCTCCCCCCTCCCCAAATCCCCCCGCACCGGGGGGCGGGCCCGGCCCGCTCCTTCCCACCTCCCCCCTCCCCAAATCCCCCCGCACCGGGGGGCGGGCCCGGCCCGCTCCTTCCCACCTCCCCCCTCCCCAAATCCCCCCGCACCGGGGGGCGGGCCCGGCCCGCTCCTTCCCACCTCCCCCCTCCCCAAATCCCCCCGCACCGGGGGGCGGGCCCGGCCCGCTCCTTCCCACCTCCCCCCTCCCCAAATCCCCCCGCACCGGGGGGCGGGCCCGGCCCGCTCCTTCCCACCTCCCCCCTCCCCAAATCCCCCCGCACCGGGGGGCGGGCCCGGCCCGCTCCTTCCCACCTCCCCCCTCCCCAAATCCCCCCGCACCGGGGGGCGGGCCCGGCCCGCTCCTTCCCACCTCCCCCCTCCC